TGATGTGATTAAATTCTGACAGAAGTGCAAAATATCCCTTCATCCCCAGTGGTAGGGAATTAGTTATCAATTCTGGTCTGATCTTCTGACAAGGCATCACCAACATCACCAAATAGAATACAGCAGGAGGAATCAAAAACACCAGGAGCAAGCTAAAGAATACATGTTTGCACCCACTAGAGAGACATACTGTCATCTTATGCAAAGTGTTATTGGATTTGTAATGGTCATGTTCCACCTGTTAGAAGTGACAGATATAATCCTATGGTCAATATTAGTGTGAGGGGAATACTGAAACAATGAAATGAGAATTCTAAGACATCTAATTTGTCAGATTTCTACAGCCAAAACCTGGATAAAGTTCCTTGTTTTCCAGCAGCATGCGTTCTTAAAAGTCAGCTGCAGTTTTTCAGCAACAGATGTAGACATCTATAACCAAGGCCATCTTAAGGTGAAAAATTTTGTGTAATGTAAACAAAGTAGAACTCACCCTTGCAGCTTCAATTACTCTTAACAGATTCACTATACAATTATGCATTTTATTAAACTTGCTTTCTGTAGACCTAAATAGTAATCAAAATAATTTAAGACAGATCTACTTCTATTACTGCTTTAACATTTAATCCCAGCATGGATTCCTATGTACTGCATGCATTCAAGCAACATTTGGTACAATATGATGATGTATAGAAGACAATGCGATCAATTTATATTCTGTATACTCCTTATGTACCTTCTGGAATGATACTATAAATCACACTTACTGTTTTGGTTCTTCTTGGGAGTCACTGCACATATTGCTACAAGAAGTTGATGAAACTATCAGACATAAAGCACAATCCAAGCCCAGAGCAGCCAAGAAGAGACTGAGAGGCACTTTCTACTCCAATGTCCAAAATACAAGGAAATACATGAAAGAAATCTCCTCAAATTGTAAGCAATCATAAAAATCATTTAAGCAAAAAGGAGTAACGAAAAACTGTATCTAACCCTGGAAGAAAGGAAAGACAGCAGAGATTGGATCACACTATGTAGCAATCTGACAGTGCAGGGGTGGCCAAACTGAGCCTGAGAAGGAGCCAGAATTTACCAATGTACATTGCCAAAGAGCCACAGTAATACGTCAGCAGCCCCCCATCAGTTCCCCACCCACTCCCAGCGCCTCCTGCCCACCGGCAGCTCTGCCGATCAGCTGTTTCGTGGAGTGCAGGAGGCTCTGCATGGGAGGAGGAGAAGCGAGGGCATGGCAGGGTCAGGGGAGGGGGCGGGAAGGGGTGGAGTGGGGGCCAGGCCTGTGGCAGAGCCAGCGTTGAGCAGTGAGCACTTCCTGGCACATTGGAAAGTTGACGCCTGTAGTTCCAGCCCCGGAGTCGATGCCTATACAAGGAGCTGAATATTAACTCTGAAGAGCCGCATGTGGCTCCGGAGCCACAGGTTGGCCACCCCTGTGCCAGTGGATCAGGAATGGCCATTGCTGAAAAATGGAAACAGGAAATCAAATCCTAAACACAATGTTTACCCCTATCCTGGATGGATCTTACCCAACTCTGATAGATACCTGAAGGCTCGGTTTCTTTTATGCAGTCTAGTAACACTTGTATGGTTAGTCATGCCAATAAAGTCTCATGGAATTTAGTTGTTACGAACAAGCAACAGACTTCAACAGGTGAGAGTACAGCAGACCATACCCATGTTATGCTTTGTAAGACAACACAAGAATCATTGTACACAACTCCAATGTAAAGATTTTGGATTTAAGGTTAAAGTGTTTTTCTGTGGCATTCTGAATATTTTAAACACATACTACATCTAATAGTAAAATTGCTCCTATCTGCACAGTACACTATATAATCAAGGTATAGAACGTTTGGTTTGTGAAAAATATTTTCCTTCTTCCACAGTAACTGTCAAACATTTACATTAAAACTGTAGCCACGGTGTAATTTTAAGGGTCTAGATTTTTACAGATGTTAAAAAGGAGGACTTTGATTTTGGGGGGAATCTCAGCCAGAAATATTGCTGACTGAGTAGATGTTGGGACTTAATCAATACAAAAGAAAGTCTGCTTCTGGAGTCTCGCACAGAGGACTGTGCACTCAAAATTGAATGCTTATAAGGTACATTAAAGTTTTCACGTAATTTAAGATATGAACAGAGCTTTCTGACGCTGATTACAAAAGGGTCAGTTTACAGTGTCATGTTTCATTCTTCTAAAGATGTGGAGAAAATATTTTTATGAGAGGGAGAAAGACAGATTGAGCACTTGCTCCAAATCTCTGTTTAAATTACTATATTGCATGGAGTGCATAGGCATGAATATATATACACTGACTAAGGGCTTGTCTACACTTACCGGAGGGTCCGGCGGCAGGCAATCGGTTTTCTGGGATCGACTTATCGCGTCTAGTGAAGACGCGATAAAATCGATCCCTGATCGCTCTGCCGTCGACTCCGGAAATCCACCGCGGCAAGAGGCGGCAGCGGAGTCGGCGGCAGCGCGGCAGCGGTCGACTTTCCCCCGTCCTCACCGCCAGGTAAGCCGACCTAAAATACGCAACTTCAGCTACGGTATTCACGTAGCTGAAGTTGCGTATCTTAGGTCGGACCCCCGCTGTAGTGTAGACCTAGCCTCAGTAACAGAGATATGCAGACTTGCAAAGCTATGATGTGCTACCTGCTTTTCTCTCCGATTTTCTGTTCTCTTTTGAAAACCAGAAGATTTGGGTGCAGAAAATCCTTTCCCAGATAGCACGTATTTACTGTTAGAAGTGCTTTCATTTTCCCCTTAACTTTCTGTCTCCTCACTACACACTTTTTTTTGGTCCAGTGTAATTTTTTTCCTTTCCTTCAATTCTTCAACTGACATATCACATAACTCTGGAACAGTGGTGTAGTTAGGAAAAAAAGAAATGGGTAAACTAAGCTAAACTAAACTTCATATTCTCCAAATGAGAAGTAGATAATCTCCATTTACCTGAGCTTCCCCTCAACTACACTACTGCCCTGGGGCACAGGTCTTCACCAGCATCAGCCCCCTACTAACATGGGGCTGGAAACATTCACTTGTCCCAAGATAAATCAATATGATGTGTGCGCCATAATCCTCGGCAGCATGAAAACTTTCACTAAAAAAGAGGAAAGTTTTCAGCCCTCATGGTTACAAAGGTGACACTCCAAATGGAAATGGAGTTTAAAACAATGTAGTACTGTCTTCCAAATACCTGGTCTACATACAAGTGATAAAATCCTGGCCCACTGAAATCAGTGGGAGTTTTGCTGATGACTAAAATGGGGCAAGGGATTGCACCCAAATTCACACTAGTTTAACAATAGGTGGGTTTTGTTAAACTGGTACAAAACTATGTGATGAATGCTCTTAAAACAGTTTAATACAGGTTTATATTGGTTTAGCTTGCACTGGAAAATGTATAGGTGCAAAGCAAATTTAACCATTTTTAAACTAATATAAATGTGTCCACACAAAGGTTTGCACCAGTTTAACTAAATCTGTTTTAAAACAGCTACACTGTGATGAAGAGGACATTGTGAAAAGAAATGGGAAGGAAAGAAATGGATTAATTTGCCATACAAACAGGGATTTTCATTAAAAGCAAAGGTAGTCATTTTGTTGAGCTATTGGAGATTTAGTCAAACGTTTTTACAGGAATGGTGAAGAGATTTGTGCACGAAACACTGGAAAATTTCAGTCACAACATCCAGTTACAAATTTATGGCAAAAAGACACAATACATGCTAACAGTACTGCATCAGCTTAAATAATTCAGGAAGTTTTAAATTCAACAAAACTATTGTTTTATAATCAGGAGCTTAAGCACTTTTTCCAGAAACTAAGATTCAAATGCAACAGGAAAAAAAAAAATCCCAACCAACTACGTTCAGTAGATGGATTTAAATTATTGTGAATTATTCAATGGGACTCATCTAAAGAGAACACCACGCTGGAACCTCAAAAAAGGTGTGATGTGTTTTCAATATTTTTCATGGAAAGTTCTCATCAACTTTTGACAAAAACAGAAATATATTTTCCTAACATTTCCAAAGTATTGGCCATCTATAATTGTATTATTTATTTGTATTGCCCCAGTCTTGGACCAAGACTCCATTCTGCTAGGTGCTGTACAAAAAGACAGCTCACTTTCATTGTATGAACAAAATGGAACTTTGTGAGAGAAATAGTTGATACTCAAACACTGTCTCATTGGACACCATACAAAGTGAAACTCCATTTTCAGTTCTGATTCTGCTTGCTCTTCTCCATGTGAACAGAAGCCACTCAGAATTGCAGTAGAAGACCTCATTGTGTATTATAAAAACCATACAGCATTCTATTCCATGTCTCAGCCATTTCAATTAAGTGTTTGACTATGGAAATAACTTAAGGACCCAATCCTGTAATGACATCCATATGGGTGGACTCCTACCAAAGCAAAGTATTCCATTAAAGTCAATGCAGAAACAGTCCTAAAGTATGCTGAAACAGGGAAATAGCCTGCACCCTTTAGGATATTATATATTTGACAATGGATCATAAGAAATTATCACATTTTATTAAATTATTTAAAAAAGCATTATTTTCAATTGGTGATGAAGGCACAGTGTTTTTTCATCATATCGAATAATAAAGAAAATGTAAGTTTGATTTGGCCACTGCATGCATTTCTTGAGAAATGTGAAGCCCTGTGATCTTCCAGAAAAATACTGGGAGTATATATATACACACTGGGAAATATAACAGATAGTAATTGCATTTCCACAGATTTTGTTTACACCATCCTATGGAATTCTACAACAAGGTATAATCCTCTTAAATTCTATAGGCCGTATAAATCATTTACCCAGAAGCATAATGGATTTTCCCAATTAATTATATGAGAGGTTTTGCCTCCTTTCATGCTGAGCACACTGTCAAAGGGTTTCAGGCACTTTTGTATCAAAACGTTCTTTCTATATTGTGAATAAAGTTTATCATCACAACGTACCTCGAAAACTGCTCCTGCAATCCACGCATTTGAGCTCTGCTACGCTCCGACTCCAATGTCACCTCCCGTAATCTTTTTTCACTCTCAAGTCTCAAATGTCTTTCTTCCTCCAACTCATGTATCAGCTTCTCGCGCTGAAAATATATCACCAGAGGTAATATATTAGTTGTATGTGTCCACATTTAAAAAATAAAGGTGCTTCCTTTTGAAGATAAAGATAGTAAAACTTATGAAATGTCATAAGAAAAAGGTCATGTGTGTTTGATTCTGATATTTAATCAAATAAATGCTACAATTAGAATAATATAAATTAGAGATGGAAAAAAAGCCTAACACAGTAAGCTATCTAGTCCATTCCCCTTCTAGTAAAGGGATATTCTCTACAATATGATTTCTAAGTTTCTACTTGTGTGTTAAACTTCTCAAGCAATAAGGACTTTTACTTTTCCACTGTTCCACATCCAATATCCTACACTGAATGCACATACACACAAAAAAGGATAAAAGAAAAAAAATATCTAATTTTTCCACTTGTTCTGTGTGTTCAGTTTGTTAATGCAAATTACTATGGAGACAGCAGATTTTAGGATTTGGTAGGGTCACAAATCTACAAGACTGCTGTAACATATCTGTATCTTAGCTGCTCTACTTTGGCTCACAGACTCATTGAAATCAACAAAACAGGCCTTTAAAATAAAAAGTCTCTCTCCCCATCCTCCATCAATGGAGCAGAGTTTATTTTATTTTTATAAAATACAATGGTAAGAATCTAGCTTTAAAAATCTAGGTATCTAGCCAAAAAGAAAGAGAGAGAGGTTTCAGAAATTTAATAACACCCTCCACTATAAAAAGATATTTAGGTAAAGAGTTTTAGAAACACAGACTAAAAACAGAGCACCTCCAGCATACTGTACCTACTGTACATGTCTTTTATGACATGCTAATTCTTATGAGCCTCTTAACCTCAGCTCCAAAATGTAGTGAATTCAAAAGCCTATTTCGAACAAAAGGTTACACATGACTTGCCAAAAAAAAAAAAGAAAAAGGCAGCAGCAGCTTCAAAACCCACTGTTGGAACCATAAAAAAATACACACACTATCCACGAGATCCTACAACATAGAAATTAAATTCTAATTGTATTTGATTATTCCACAAGCATCTAAATGAGACAGCATCAAATAGGTCAATAAGAAACTGATCAATTGATCAATGTTCTACTAGAGAAAGAGCTTGGGCATGAGTTGACTATGAAAAGGCTAAAGCATCATAACATTACATTACGTACACCATTTATATACTTTGAGAATCACTGTAAACATGATGTGGTACAATTTTTGCGGCCTGTCAAAAAGATTTTGATGCACGTTTGTTACTGACCTAAATTTTTGTGACATACCCACAAAAAATGTATCAAGAAATTATACATATGGTTTCATTACAAAATAACAAAGGGTTCTTACTGTTAAGCCATTAAACAGAGGAGATTATTTATACAAGTCTCACAGCTATAAATCTTGCTGGATAATAATTTATAATAGCAGTAACCAAGGGACCAAAAATATGAGCATTACCAAGTGGATAAGGGATCTTAAAGACAGTGATAAATAAGCAGATGCCACAAAGGAAGGCTGGCAAGGAATTAAATGAAATATCTATATACTTGTGGAAAAATATGGGGAATTGTGAAGAGAATACAGAGCTTCTGTCTAGCTAGCCATACCTAGTATCTCAAAGATGAAAATTTTCAAATAGGAAATAAATTATTGGAAAATAAATTATTGTTCTAATTAAATTATCCAATTAATGTTCTGCCACAGACCCCAATTCTCCAAGATGCTCAATAGTATCAGACTCATCTGACTTCATTGGGAGTTGAGAGTGCTCAACATCTGGCAGAAGGTGCTCAGCACCGCACACTACAAGAATCCTGAATATATGAGAGCATGGAGGAGTAATTCATGCTTAAAAATACTGAGTGGGATTTTCAAAAGTGCTCAGTATTTGCCTAACTGTTCTTGTTGAAGTCAATGGGGAAATGCCCAATGATTCCAATAGGAGCAGCGCTTGGCCAATGCTGAATGCTTTTGATGATAGCCTGAATTATAGATGCATCTCCCTTGCCATATGGGGGGCTTAAGAAAGGAACTCCTGGAGCCAAAAGGCAGCTGTGAAAATGAAAATGAAATGAAAAAGAAATGTCTGGCTGCTTAATCTGTATGCTTAAGACCCAGTGGGGGCTGATCCAGAGAAAAGGAGAAATTACTGGGTGAAGAGCTGAACTGTCATGCCTGTACCAAGCAAGAATTGCCTGCAATAAGCCAGGGACTGCCCACAAGCACATTCAACCCAAGCAAGCACATGGTTCAGGCAAAGTTAAGGGAGTTGACTCCAGCAGGTTGATGTGCATTTCATGTATTGCATGCAGGGTAATACTGTAACATAAAAGGATTCCATGTTTCTAAAACTAAACTGGTTCTTTATTAGGAAAATTATTTACAGAAATGGTGCAGCTAGAATTCTAGCTATGTGCACATCTCCTGACTATCTGGTCCCTCCTCCAAACTCTTCCTTCCTGAAATCTGTGCTCCTCCCTCCAAGTTCCATGCAGCATGCTTCATCTTGTAACAATTTTATTGTGCATCATGTGCAAGCATTTGCTGACTTGGTGGGGCCAGAGGTGACTAGTACATAGCTCACCACAGAGACATGGCCTTTGCCACCACCCACAGTCCTGGCGTGCTATTCCTCTAACAAGTCTCCCACTTCTTGTTTGTGTTATCACTGTTCATGTGGGACTTGCTTCCATCTGTTGCTGTTTTCATTCTGGTGGGTGGCATCCTGTTGTCCATCTGTGCTGTCCATATATCTTGTTTCTTCTGACTTCTACATCAGGACAGCTGAGGCTGTTTCTGAGTCTTCCTGGTCTTGACCTTGCCCTGTTTGTCTGGGTGTACCAGCCGTCTGCTGCTACTCTGCAGTGGTCTTCAGTTTTGTCTCCCCTGCTGTCCTGAGTACATAACCACATCATGTGACCTGTGACCCACTGCTATTTGCACTGCTGCTTTTGCAATTGCTTTGTGTGGCTATTTGAAGGTTGGAGCCAGACCTGATCACCTCTGTACAGTGGACTCGGGTCTTGGCTACACTGTAGGTGCAAGTTATAAGCTTAGCTTGGCATTCTCTTAACTGCTTCTGTGTCTTGTTCATTATTCCTTTGTATGTCTCCACAGTCTGCTGCAACAGACTACCCCTAGTGGGAAGCAGAGTCTTGGTTCTCTGGCCCCATACGCATCAGTCCCTGTGCTAGGCTAATACCTAGTCCCTAGGTATTGTAGGGTGTATTGCGATGGTCCAACGTTGTCAGCAATGGACCCCTTTCTGTCTGTTAAGTCAGTCTGTTCAGTCTCTTGGCCAACTTTACTACTGGCTCTGCCTTCCCATTGCTTTTTGGTTACCCAGGGGAAGATATCTTGTGTTAAAATTCCAATTTGATGCTGAATCGTTCAAATTCAGATGCAGAGTACTGTGGCCCATTGTTTGAGTATAACATGTTGGGCATGTTGTACCTTACAAAATTACCATCAGTTTCCAGATCACAGGTCTTGCCTGAGTGTCCTCCATACAGTCCTTCTCCCAGAAAAATGTAGTAGTAACTTACTGTAACCATGTACTTCCTGCTACTGAGAGTGAATAGGTCTGTAATCCAGCCTTTTCCCAGGGTCAGATTCAGATTTCCTGAGGCTGTAGAGTCTCCTTCTGTGGCTGGTCCCTATACTCTTTTCTCCCCTTGCACTGTTCCATGTCGCTCTCAATTGGGCATTTATGCCTGTCATACATGTAGGCACCCTTTACTAGAGGGGCCTCTGAACAACATCAGGCACCCAGGCACACAGATGAGTGTTGCCTGCTCCTGAGTAACCCAGGGAGGAAAGGGGGGCTACATACAGGTACACTCCCTGATTCATATCATGCATACCTCTATCCGTAGGTGTGAGGTGTGTACCCATCTAATGATATCAATTCTTAAATCTGGTCGGAGTACTGCTCAGTTCCTTTTAAACAAAATCCCCATCTTGCACACACAGCTCATCTCTGATCTGGTAGCATAGGACAACCTCCTGTGGGACTTTCTCCTTGAGATCTGCCCAGCTCTTGAGTATGAAAGTTTTGCTGCCTGTAGCATCCCAGCCTGGTTGGTGCTGTTTTTGGATTGCCTGGACCCTCCCCTCAGAGATATGACAGTAGTCTATGAACATGCTACAATATCTCCTGCTCCACAGATCCATCTCTGTTGTACTTTGGAAGGTATGCCCTGATCACTGTATCTGCCACCAGTCATGACTTTCCTGGGCAGTACCTTATCCTCACTTCATAGCACTGACCCAGTAATATGCATTGGTGTCACTTTGGTGCACTCAGGAGTGGTTCATGCTGCTTTCTAGCAGCTTGTGGTCTGCCTGCACATCTATCTTGTGCCTAACGGTGAACTGATAGAATTGTTCCATTCCAAAGACAACAGTCAGCAGCTCCTTTTCTATCTGAGAACATGTATGGGCTGCTGGCTTTGCATCAGTGTTGCTTTCCACAGTATATACATGTCATCTGCATCCATGATCGGTCTGTCTCTCTCCTGATTCCTGGGTTCCTTTAGCTTGAGCCTCTAAACTTGTTCTCCACCAGTGGCTGTTATTATTTTGATCCTTTGCTTGGATGGTTTAGCTGCCCTTGCTATTTGGAGTCCTTTCTCTGCAGTCAGATCTGTTACTCTCAACAATCTCTCTTGTAAGCTGAAATCACATTTCCCACAAAGGCTCCTGTCTTTAATTAAGGAATCTTTAATGTCTCCAAAGTTGCATGTGGATGGCAGAATTCCCAGGCCTGTAAAGTTAGTATAGTCCTACTTCTACTTCTTGGCAGTGGCTTAAAAAAAAATCCAGTATCTCTCTACTGTCTCATTCCATCTGGGGTCACAGTACTCATCAAAACACTCAACAGCTGTTCCAGTGTTTTGTTGGCTAAGTCTCATCTTTTTCCCAACTCCCCCCTCCCCAATGAGACAGTAAAAAAGCTTTACCTTCATCTTCTCATCTTTATTCCCCATATTAAGCTCTGAATATAGACTCAATTCTGGCT